CTTGAAGGTGAGGAGTTTTCAGAGTAGGGTTCCAGGGGACCCTGAGAGCCAGTGCTCACCCCCACTCCCACCCTGATGGCACAGGGTGTGTTCCCCTTCCTTGGCACGTTTCTCGCTGACCTGGGGATGCTGGACGCTGCGATGCAGGATTGTCTGGAGGTGAGAGAACCCGGGGCAGGGCAGCACGGCCAGGAGGCCAGGATCCGGGTGGGGGTGGGGCGTGGGTGGGTGTTAGGAGGAGAGAGCCCCCTGCTGAGTCCAGAGGTCACAGCGCCTGGCGAACCTCTCTGGCACTGGAGCATCCTGCTCCGCTTGGGGATGACCAGGCCGAGGAAGTTGCCTGTCCCGGTCACCCAGGCTGGGGGAGCAGCAGAGCTTCCCCACTGCAAAGCTGAGGGAGGTTTCGTGGGAGTGGGACCTCTCCTTCAGGAGGTGCCCACAGAGGGGAGGGAGATGTAGGGTTCCTCCAAGTCACTTCCTGCCTGAGGCCTTAGTCTCCCTGTCTGTCGTGAGAGTGGGTTGGGCTAGAGGGTCCCTGAGCTTCAGCTCTCTCGCGCCCCTTTCTCCCAGCCCAGAGCCTGGCCTAGGTCCCACGCCTGTTTTCTGTGCATGCCCTGCCCTCTGGAGGACCTCGGCGGTAGTGCAGCGTGAGATGGGGTGGGGAAGGGAGGCTAGTTGTGGGCTTGAGGGCCCCCCTTTTTTAAATTAAATTTATTTTTTTATTTATACTTATATTTATTTATTTTATTATTTATTTTTATTTTTCTTTATTATTTATTATTTTGTTTATTTTTTAAATTAAATTTAAATTAAATTTATTGTCAAATTGGTTTCCATACAATGCCCAGTGCTCATCCCATTGAGGGCTCTTTCTGATGGCTCCTGGCTGTCTGCCTCTCAGAGGAATCTGATCAACTTCCATAAAAACAATGAGGTGAGCAGCTGTGGGAAGGGGGGAGGGAGGGGCATCAGAGCTCCTCCCCCCGCAGGAGGGAGAGTTTGATAACAGACCAGTGGGAGACCCATCAAATTGGTGGGTGGGGTAAGTCCAACTTTGTGAGGAGGGGCTACTTATGCCCATCTCAGAGAATAGATAGGACCTGGATGGAATTGGAGGGTTTCCCTGTGTACAAAGACCCGGGAACCAGCCTCCTGCCTCTCTCCTCGACCACACATTGTCCTGGAAGCACCGCCCTGCCCTGGCCCTGTCTGCATCTGTCCTTCCCTCTGGCCCCAGGAATGCAAAGTAATGCAGCTGCTCCCTGTGGCTGCAAATCATTACAGCCTTGAGCCTGAGGGGCAGTTTGAGGTGAGACCAGGCAGGAGTGAGCAAGAGCAGGTACAGACTCTCCCTGGTCTCTCTCTTGTGACTGGCTCCAGAGAGCCTTTGGCCGTGACTCCCTTGCTGACCACAGGCCCTGTTGCCTGGGGACTAATGGGGTGCCTGGACTACACCTGCCCGGTGGGCACTGGAAGGGACATCTGACCGTGGCTCCTGGTAGGCTCACGGGTGAGCCTGTCCTGTAGCTACAACTTGTCCTGCTGGGGGAGCTCCTGTGCTATTTGGCCAGCAGAAAATTCAAGGCCAGAAAGAACTGGTCATCAATAAGCTCAAGGATGAGTGAGCACCCAGGCTTGGCAGTAACTGAATCCTGGGGGCTTAAGGTCAAACTTCAGACTAAGCGTGGTCTTGGGGAGTGAAATTCCAGCTCCACTATTGACCAGCCCTGTGCCTGGGACAATTCACCTTAGGTTTCCGAGACTTAGTTTCCTCATCTGTGAGATGGGTGATGCTGATTGATCACTCGCGTGGCAGGGACAAATAGGGTACTGTTGACTAAGCATTTTGCGCAGTGCCCAGAGCACAGTGCAGTGAGGGCAAGGTGGGGAGGGTGGGCCATGACCATGGGGGATGTCCCTCTCTTCCAGTCAGCCACCAAGCCCCCAACAGAGCCCAGTACCAGCAGCAGATCACACCCCAGAGGCCAGCTCAAGTGAGACCTCTTCCTCAACACCTGGGACCCTCGGAGTGCATTAGGTCAGCTATCCCATCTGAGGTGCAGAACATTGTGAGCCCTTTCTGGGGCTCCCCGGAGGACCAGAATAAGAGGAGGTGACCCTGCTTCATCTCCCTCTTTGTTCTTCCCCAAGGCCTATTTCCCTGTTATGGAGGGGTGTATCTATTTGTAGCAAATAGTAAATGCTGGATTTGAATATTATCTTAAAATCCTCTTTTTTTTTTACAGCCTGAGAATTAAGGTTTGGGTCTTTCACTTCCCATGCTAATATAAATGAGATACTGACTTTCACATTCCTCCATGAACTAAGAAATCCTGCAGGGTCACCAGCTTATTGTATGCAGGAGAAGGGAGATGGGCCAGGCCCCTTCCTTCACTACTGAAGGAGGCCCCAAATCCCACTTCTGCAGAGGACATGTCATTTCAGTATCCCTAACCTGGGCCAGGAGCAGAGACAGCCCCTCAGAACTCTTGGGAGTCCGGCGGTTGAAGGTACCTCCATAGGCATTAGCAACAACCACGGAAGCTGGGTGTCTAGAAATAACACTTACCAGGCCCCTTTCTGCCCCAGGACAGTGGCTGCCTTCCTACAGCTTTGAAGGAAGAGGAAACAATCTCTGCTTTTCCTGTTGACGTTTCTTTTGGCCACATATTAGGAACTGTCGTTTTCTAGTTCCGTCTCTGGAATTAGCACATCAGTACTATGTACAGGAATAATGTAAAGAAATCAAACGTGTGCGGAAAGGACAAGACCAGAGAAAGAGAATTTGCCAGTGGATGAGGTCCCAGGACTTTCTATCCTCCATCTCCCTCTAGGGGCTCCGTGTTTCCTCTTTACCTGCATGAGAATCCTCCTGGGATCCTTGTCCGTGACCTCCACACTCTTCCTGCTTGCTTCGTGTCCAGGGGCAAGATTTGTGAGGCACCTTTCAAGGCTACAGCTGGGCCTCATTCCATCAACATTTATGCTACCTATAAAGTAGGATTTCCAGCGTTCCTGTACCTCTTTATACAATTCTTTTAAAGACATACATTCCCTAGAGGCCCCAGCCTGTCAGGTACATTGTGGCCACTCCTCCCTGGTGGGGACCTGATGGGTCATGGATGACTTCTGACTTTCCAGGAGTAGGGTCCATATATGTGGCCATGGGACGATCCCCACACTCTCCCTTGCTAGCCAAGATGCCCTCTGAGGCCAAGTCTACTAGTAGGTCTAGAAGCAAATAGGGCCGATGAGTGTAGATCCTGGGGAAAATCAGCACTAATTTGCAAGGCAACTACCTCAGGGGAGACCATCACAGGTTCCTTTCTTCATGCAGCTGAGAGCATAGTGAGGTGAGCAGACATTAATCACATCATCACGAAGTGAAACAATGAAAATGACAATAACTGATATTTATTCAGTTTAGGGTGTATCAGGCACTAACTTAGGAGTGTTTGCATGTTATTAACTCATTTTATCCTCAAAATATTTTGGGTGTTGCAGGTATTGTTTTTTGTTTTTTTTTGTTTTTTTTGAGAGAGAGAGAGAGAGAGAGAGAGAGAGAGAGAGAGAGAGAGCAGGGGAGAGGGGCAAAGGGAGAGGGAGAGAGAATCCTAAGCAGGCTCCATGCTCAGTGCAGAGTCTGATGCAGGGCTCCATCCCACGACCCTGGGACCATGACCTGAGCCGACGCTCAGGTTGGACGCACAACCAACTGACCCACCCAGGTGTCCAGGTATTGCCCTTTTTATTCTTAAGGAAAAAGCAGCACAGAAAGGCAAAGGAGTTTAGCTGGTGTTACACAGCTGAAAGTGGTCATGTGGGGATCCCGACACACCAGTCACAGTTTTCTCAGTTTCTGAAAGCAGAGTGACAAAGTCTAGTCGCAAAGGTTAAATTAAAAGAGATGAGTCTGGCAGACACGTCTAGCAATAGGACTAGGTTTACAGTAGATGCTTAATGTGATTACTGAACTTCAATGGCTCTGGGACTCATGAGGTGGATGGGGACTTCCCTCACCCTGTTGGTATGTCCTCCTGGCACTTGCACAAGCTGCATGACTTTGGTCACTTTGTACAAGCCCTGAACCATCAGAGACCTTACACGAGGGTATGAAGACTCAGGGTGAGGACTGGGCCCTCTGCACACAGAGAAATGTCCAGGCCTCCCAGCCTGGCGTCTGAGCTTCCCTAGGTGGTCTAACCCACCCCTGATTCCCTGCACTGCAAACACCAGAGGCCTCCCCTCCTCCAACATGCCTGGGGCTCTCCTGCTCCCACTCCTTTGCTCTGTTGTCCTCCAAGGAGAATGCCTGCACACCCCCATCTCTGCCTCCGCAGGTAGGCAGCTTTCCTGGGGGATCCCCTCCTCGTCAGATGTGCATATCTTCTTTGTGCCCAAGACCCAGGTCGGTTCTGATCTGTTCCTCATCCCAGTGGCCATGGTAGGAAGAGCCCAATGTGTGCCTGCTCACACTACCAGACTAGAGGCTTGGGTCTCTCCCACCACCAGGAGGCCTGGAAAGTGGGGGAGCAATGAGGATCCTATTGGATTAAGGCCATATTGTCTCCCAGAGAACAACTGTGTCCAATAGTTAAACTCTCCTGGTATAGATAGCCATTTTACCACATTCTTCATTGACACAAAGTTCTGCCCTGTGGTCAAACTGTTTGTCCATATGGAACTCCCCAAGGCTGCCTCCTAACCATGGATAGTGTAAATCATTGAGAAAAGATTGTTCAACAGAAATTCTCTTTAGTTCTTGATCTTTTTTTTTTTTTTCAACGTTTATTTATTTTTGGGACAGAGAGAGACAGAGCATGAATGGGGGAGGGGCAGAGAGAGAGGGAGACACAGAATCAGAAACAGGCCCCAGGCTCTGAGCCATCAGCCCAGAGCCTGACGCGGGGCTCGAACTCATGGACCGCGAGATCGTGACCTGGCTGAAGTCGGACGCTTAACCGACTGCGCCACCCAGGCGCCCCAATTTAGTTCTTGATCTTTTTACCAGGGGAGTGAATTATTGGGGCTGAGACTTCATGGTTCAGCCCAGGTGCCATCCACGAGTGTCTGGTGCTGTATGCAGTGGACAGTGACTGTGCATCCTGTCACAATGCAGGGGACAGCAGCTGGGTAGCCCGGGTCCTCTCTGGAGCAGCCATCTTGGAATGGCCTTATAGCAAGGTCGGATGTCACTGTCAGCTCTCTGAGCCCATCAAAAGAATCTGGGTAAACTCCCGGGAGCTATGACCTGGTCTTGATTTTCTGAGCATGACTAGTTTGGGATTGTTGACCAGGGTCTGCAGCAGAAGCCACCGCGTCCTGGACCTGGCTGAGACTCGGGGACCTGGGAGAGAATTAGAGCAGACAGACCTGGAGGACAGGGCTTGTCTCTGTCCTTCTCAGAGGCTATTGGAGAAGCTGACTGGTAGGTGTGAGGTGTGGGAGAAGCAGCTGGACCAGGACCCCTGGGGACATGAGGGTGGCAGAAGGGACATGAGTTTGTCCCAGAGCCGGATATCCGTTGGATATAGCTGGATATAGTTGGGAACAGTGATGAACTTAATCCAGACTGGTGCCCACAAAACATGACTAATTGGTGGGCTTCCCAGCAGAAGGCAGAGCAGAGTAGTAGGGGTGGAGGGGTGGAGTAGACGGTTATACAGCCTTGAGGAGGCAGATGTTGGGGGCCAGAAGCACTTGTGGTAAGCAAAACTGAGCCCCATCTTGGAGAGCATCTGTTCTGAACCCTGGGATATGGGTGGGGTCTCAAACAAATGGAATAGTGAACTCAGACAGTGGAACTAGAGCTCATTTCTGGGAACAAGGGAGGAGCCCACTTAGAAGGACAAGGACACCAGACCTCAGGGGTCCCATGGCCAGGCTGGCTGAAGACTAAGCCTCCTGTTCTCCCAGGTCAAAGGTCTCCCAGGGCAGGGAGTATGGAGGAAGGGGGGTAGGGAAAGAGGAAGCTGGAACACCTCAGGGATCCCAGAGAAGCCTTAGGGTACTCGTTCCCTATTGTCCAACCCCAGCATGGGTTCAGACAGAGCCTTACCTGCTGACTGATTTAGGCACCAGTATTTGATGGCCTGCTGCAGCCTCCGCTCCCTGTGCCCTGTGATCAGGATGTTACAAAAGCTGACGAGCACAGGGTTGGTATGATAATGATCCACATAGAGCATGCCAATCCAGGCGCTGAACCCTGAAACCCAGAAGGCAAGTCAGGCCATGCAGTATGCCCTGTGTCCCAGGATGCCTGAGCTTGTGCTCTTGATGATGTGGCTGCAATGCCACTTTGTTCCTATATGGTGCCCATGTTCTCACTGAGAACCTAGAAAACTAGGTCGGAAGAGCAGGAAGGGTTCTTAAGATAGCATTCTAATCCAACCATGTTATGGAAAATGTGAAGCTCAAAGCAGAAGGAGAGCTGTGGCTGATACAGAGAGGCTGTCAGTCCTACAATGAATGGACGAGTGCTGGACACAGGTCAGAAATAAGACAAAAGCTACTTTCGCTCTACAGAAATGGCTTGATTTTAGACTATTTCAACTGAACAGGCCATTTTCTTAACTAAGTTTGGTTTCCAACTAATGACACACCAGTCATTCTGAGAGGTGTTCTTTCTCAAAATTTTCAGAGCTGTGCATTCATATTTACATTCTGACTGTTCAGATGGAATTTCTAGTACTTCTTACTGCTCTCCATGATATCTTGAAGGCCTGTCAAATATGCAGCAATTTACTTGCCTGAATTCTCTTCTGACCATTAGGATGAATGTTTTTCTTTTTCTTTTTTTTTTTAAGTTTATTTATTTATTTTGAGAGAGAGAGAGAGAGAGAGAGAGAGAGAGCAATCTAGGGAGAGGGGTAGAGAGAGAATCCCAAGCAGGCCCCACACTGTCAGCATGGAGCGATGCAGGGCTCGATCTTATGAACCATGAGATCATGACCTGAGCCGAAATCAAGAGTTGGACGCTTAACTGACTGAGCCACCCTGGAGCCCCCTGAATGTTTTTTGCTACTCAGCTTTATAGCCTCCATGAGAAGCTGAGCTCTGAGGCAAAGAGTGTGAAGTCCAGGCCTCTGGTACCCAGCCTGCAGGCACCACAAAGGTACAAGACTAGTCCCCTCCACCTGACTCAATGCGTGGCCTCAGGGACCGGCCACTTACCCATGTCTGCACCCTCATAGCCATTCTGCATGATGGTCCTGTCGATGCGGGCAATCAGCCACGTGCCCAGGATGCAGCTGATGAGCAGCCTGGAGAGGCAGGCCCCCAGGCCCAGGAGCACGTTGTAGAAGAACAGAAAGTAGTTGAAGTTGTGGAAGGCTTTCCTGCAAACGGAAGCAGGCAGACGGGCAGCACCCTTTCAGTATGAGGAAGTGGCTAGCAGGCTGGTTCAGCGCCCCATGCCTGTGATCAAATCCTGCTGCTCCCATCTCCCAGCCCTGTGACCTTGTGCTGTAACTGGGAGCTGACTGTCCCCACCACACAGCACTGCTGTGGGAACTGGCTCAGACACCACATAGAAGGCGCTGAGCCCAGTGCAGGACAAATGTCAGTGGAGACTGTGATGTTTCATGGGATCCTTGGGTTTTGAGGTTTCCTGTATGGCAAGGAATCTCATATGGCTACAGCTGGCTTTGTGGTTACAGCAGAGGCTGTGGCTTTCCCACTGTCTGTTGTAACAGTGACCTGCCCCCAGCTGGAACTGTTCCAAGTCCTCCAGGGGAAACTTTTCAAGTGACCACTTGACCATGTAGTTTCCTGTTGCCTATGGGATAAAGCCCAAACTCTGCATGCTGGATTTCTGGGCCATCTCTGAGAAGGGCCTTTCCCGGGATCATCACTTTGTGCCTCCTCCCTGCCCCTCAGCACCTATGGTGACCACTGCATGGTCACCATATTGGATTCTCACGGTTCTCTCAACACATCTTGCCCTTTTATGGCTTCCTACCTTCATCCGTGAAGTGAGGGCTGCTGGCCATGCCCTCTCCTCAGCTCTCCCACCTATAGGAATCCCACCACCCTACGACCTCAGCTCAAACTCCCCACCTGCAGCTGAATGAACCACCCCGTCTCTCTTTCTCCATTCCCTGTGCTGCTCTTTTGAGCCTTTCACACCGTCTGGAGTGTACTGGGGCCACATGACTGTGTCTGCTGGCTCCTGTGGACCGTGAGCTTCTGCAGGCAGGTCACGTAGGAATATCTCTTTAATCTCCAGTGCCCCTGTTGTTTCCTCCCCGAGTGAATGGCTTCAAATGAATGAGTTCCAAAGGATCACCATGGGCCAGGTACTGTTGTTCTAAGTTCATATTTTAACACATCTCATTCTCGGAATACCTCTGTGAGGAGTGTGCAATTATTTGTAAAATGACGAAACTGAGGTTCGTAGGTGTTCAGTAAGGTCACATAAGGTCACACGGTTCATAAGGGGTGGAGCCAGGATTTGGACCCAGGCGGTTTGGTTCCAGAGCCCACTCCTGAGCCACGGCCCCTCACCCTCTCAGAGAGGGCACTGTCCCCCCAGGAACCTGCCATGGGTGAAGAGGAAGGAAGGAGAGACTGCTGAAGCCAAGGCCCCCAAGCCCCATTTCCTTCTTTGCCCTCACCTGTTGTTGAGAGCCAAGGGCTTCTGCTTGTCAGCCGTGCTCATCTTTGGCTGCAGGAAGAAGCTGGTGGCGATCCATACCTGCAGGATCATGAGACCCAGGACGATGGATATGGTGAGGCTGAAACACAGGGCGAGACTGTTGCGGCACCTGCTCTGTGCTTGATGCACACCCGTTGTCCGTTGAGAAAACGGAGGCTCACAAAGGGGAGGTGACTTTCTCAAAGTCACATAGTCAGGTCGTTTGGCTCCATACTAGAACTCCAGGATTTAATTATATCCCTTTGTCCACGAGTGGCAGCTGGGATGTGTGTTTAACAGCATGGGAATCAAAGAAAAGCATGAAGTTTTTAAAGCGCTCATGAAGGTCCTGAAAGTGGACGGGCAGGCTCTGCCCAGCCTCCCACATAGCTTTGGGGGAGTGTGGAACCAAGGAGTTCAGAGCGGGGAGGTCCCCGGAGAGTGCCACATCGTGTGTTTGCATCGCCTGAGCAGCAGTGTGGGTGGCAGTTAAATGGGGCCTCGGCTTCAGATCGCTAGCTCCCAACCCTGCCTCTTCCCCTCCTTGGACAAATCACTTAGCCTTCTGTGCCTCTGTTTCCTTGTCTGACAAATGGGTGTTAATATGAGGCCCAGCCTTTAAAGGGTTCTTAAGAGAAAAGATGCACAGTGAATTATCAGTTACGTCAGCCTTCACTCTTATCTTCCATATGGGATAAACTGAGGCTCAGAGAAGTAATTTACCCAAGGTCACACAGCTGATCTAAAACCTGAACTCAGATTCCTTCTATAATGTCCGAACTCCCTTGTCACCTCCCTGAACTTTAACCTTCCCAGCTATACAATGGATATGTGTGTGCCCCCCCCCAGACACAACTGTGAGCACCCCACTGAATAGTGAGAATGGAAATGTCTTATGAACTGTAAGGCTCCCATTGTGATGAGTTGCTATTTTGGCCCATCCTTGGGTCTGAGCTGAGAGTGTCGGTCCAGGAATGGGTGAGAGCCCAACAGCAGCTTCGAGGCTACACCAGTGCCTAGACCCTGGGCAATGACAGAGAGCCCAACCTGCACTTACGTCCCGATGCCCAGTCCTTGGAGCATCTCCAGGCCCTGGTTGTGGACGACAGGCAACACCAGGCTGTACATGACCATCAGGCCACACAGGCTCTGTACCACGTGGATGATGAGGTAGCCTGTGGACCAAGGGAACCCACGGTCACTCAAGGCCCTTCGCAACCCAGTCATGACTTCCTGCAGAGCCCCTCTATCTTCCTCCCACCAAAGGTCCTGGCATTTTTGTTTATGCAGCTTCTTCTGCCTGGCACGACCTCCCTTTTCCTCCCGCTCACCTGCGGCTCACCCTGCAGTTCAAATGTCAACTCCACTAGAAAGCATTTGTGTCCTGCCTGGGAGAGTCACTTGCTCCTCTAAGTCACCACCACCTTTATCATTTCTGCCCCATGGGCTTTGGGCAGGTAGTAATGATAGCTTTGTGAGTGTGGGATTCTCCCTCCTTCCTGAAGGAAGGTGGGTGATTCCCTTTACCCATACCTACCCCCACCTCCTTCTTCCTCACCTCTCTTCTCTCTCCCCACAGCCAGGACCCCATAGGTGCCCAGGGAATGGGTCACATGATGACACTTACCCCACAGAATATAGGCTATTTGCCAGCCAGAGTACCTTGCAATGGCCACCTGAGATTTAAAAAGGAAAAGGGGTCTCATAGGGGTGAAAACACTGATTACCTCCAATATACGGGTCCAGAATCTCTGCCTCATTTGAGGTTCACCCACCAACATACCAGGGCAGATGCCATGACTGTCATTGTTTTACAGATGAAGAAACCAAGGGCCAGATGGGGATAGTGACTATCCTGGGTCACCCAGCAGCAGAGTATACTAGAATTGAGGACTCTGGATGCCCAGTGCAGGGCTGTCCCTCCCCCCAGACGCTGCCCCTGCCTAAGAGACAGGAGAGCAGGACTTGGCCACTTAGTCTCAGAGCAGAGACAGGCCTCCATAGACTTACCACACTCTTCGACGAGGAAGGATGATGGAACTTCAAAGGGAGAAAGTGTTTATTTCCTGCCCACAGCCTCTTCATGTGCTTTCTAGAGAAAAAGTGGGGAATCAGTGATGCTCATAACCACAGCTCCTTATGTACTTAGAGCTCAACAGATGCCAACAGAAAAGCCTGCAGAGGGAGATAGAAGCCAGCTCAGCTTCCTTGTATTGACCGCAGCTCGTGGGACAGTTCTCACTAGCCTTAAAAATATTTTTAAAATACGTTTGGGCACCTGGGTGGCTCAGTTGGTTGAGAGTCCGACTCTTGAGTTTGGCTCAGGTCATGATCCCACGGTTCTGGGATCGAGCCCTATGTCAGGCTCTGCACTGAACGTGGAGCCTGTTCAAGATTCTTTCCCTCCCTCTGCTCCTCCCCAGTTTGTGTGCGTGTGTGCGCTTTCTCTCTTAAAAGTATACAAAAATAAAATAAAATAAAATACATTTTAAACTGAGATATAATTGACATATAACACTCCATTAGTTTCAGGTGTACAACATAATGATCCCATATGTGTGCACATTGAAAAATGGTCACCACAGGAGTCTAGTTAACATCCATCACCTCACATAGTTACAAGTTTTTTTCTTGTGATTAGAACTTTTAAGATCTACTCTTAGCGACTATCAAATATACAATATGGTGCTGTTAACTACAGTCATCATGCTGTAGAGTACCTCCCCGTGACATTTATTTTATAACCGGAAGCTTGTACCTTTTGATTCCCTTCACCCACACCCACCCCCTATCCCCTACCTCTGAAAACCTCAGATCTGTTCTTTGTATCTATAGCTTGGGTTTTTGTTTTGTTTTGTTTCAGATTCCACATATAAGTGAGATCATACAGCATTTGTCTTTCTCTGACTTCACTAAGCATAATGCCTTCAAGTTCCAACCATGTTACTGCAAATGGCAAGATTGCACTCATTTTTCTGGCTGAATAGTATGCCAGTGTGTGTGTGTGTGTGTGTGTGTGTGTGTGTGTGTGTGTGTGTGAGATACGTCTTCTTTGTCCATTCATCCATCAAAGGACACTTAGGTTGTTTCTATATCTTGAATATTGAAAATAATGTTGCAATAAACGTGGGTGCAAATATCTTTTCTAAATACTGTTTTTGTTTTCTTCAGATAAATACCCAGAAATGGAGTTGCTAGATCATATGTAGTTCTATTTTTACTTTTTTGAAGAACTTCATACTGTTCTCCACAGTGGCTGCACCAACTTCCATTCCTACCAATAGTGCATGAGAGTTCCTTTTTTTCCACATCCTCGCCAACACTTGTTATTTCTTGTCTTTTAGGTACTATCCATTCCAACAGGTGTGAAGTGATACCTCACCATGGTCTTGACATGATTTCCCTGACGATTTAAAAATCTTAATATTATATAGTTCCCAGATCTCAATGGTGACTGAATGTGATAGTTGAGTCTCTGTGTGGCTTTTATTTTCTTCAATTTGCTCTATTACTTTTTCTGTGACGTGTATGTATTACTCATGTAATAATATTTCAAAATAGGTAAAAATGGAAAACTGTTTTTAATGATAGACCCACCTTATAGCAACATCAAGGACACGGAGAAGCCCAGCCCCCCAGCAAACCTCTGCATGCTTTCCCCACGTGCTGGTCTCGGCCTGGTCCTCGGCACGAAGATTAGGTTGGCAGTGGTTATGTTCACAACCCCCATTTACATCTGTGTCCCACTTTTCCTCTAACATTCTATATCCAGCGTTTTCCAGGAGGTTTTGCAACATTGTAATCACTAAATTGGCAAGACTTAGTATGAAATAAAGAATGTAAATATCTTATTAATAGTTTGTATATTTATTACACAATGAAATGATGGTTGGGGGTTATGCTGGGTTAAATAAAATATGTTATTAAATTATTTTCACCTCTTTTTTTTACTTTTTACTCATGTCTATTAGAAAATTCAAAATTGCATCTGTGGTTTTTATTATGTTTCGGCTCGGCAACACTGGAGTAGAGTATGCCATCAGGAGTACAAACACACAGATATATTTGCATGGTGCATAGGAAATTCCTGGGGGGATACAGAAAATGAATAACGTTTAGCTCTGGGGCAACAAACTTGAGTCTGAATGACTTCAGACTTTGCACTAAATATTTTTTATAACATTTTTTAAAAGAGGCTGTATATAGGTTGTAATAATTCTAAGAAAAATACAAATACTGGTACAGTGCTAGTGCCGTCCACTTGAAGGACTTTCTTATCCACTATCTCCTTTGCCCCATGGTCCTGTAAAGCAGACAGGGCAGGGATCATCATTCCTCTGTGACAGGTGTGGGAAGAAGGGGCCAGCCTGGACACAAGAGAAGCCTCCCCACCACAGAAGCCATCTCTTCCCTGGGCCCTCTACCATGTCAGTGCAGCCAGCTCTAAAAGGTGTCTGTGACTGGCTGTGGTCCAATGTCTCACTAATCATCTCCTAGGCACTTGCAGGTCAATGAGGGGAGGGGCAGACGTATCCTTGCATCAGGCAGGGAAGGGGAGAGCAGCAGTGTCCAGCCCACCCATGGGGTCTGGGGAGAAGAAAGCAGAGAGAGGGAGCAAGCTAGGGCTGTGATGGAGAGCTGGGGCCTCTTTGTGCCAGGATGCGATCTGCCAGAGACCCACCCTTGGTGCAGCCAGATGGGGAGGATGTAAAGGCAGGATGCTTTGGAGGGGTAGGAGTTGGCCCTGGGCCTCCTGTGACTGCATATGAGTTACAGCCTGAGGTGGAGGGAAGAAGGAACTGAGAGACAGAGAGGAGGGATGGCAGATACTGCTGTCTGCAGTGGAGTGCTGCTCACTACATACTGAAGGCCATCCCCTCCTCCTGCTCTGCTCTTCTAGAGACTGATGCACCTGGTGCCCTTGACCCGATCTCCTTTGATGTATCCTTGAGCCAGATGCACCTGCTGGGAACCCAGTGTGTTTAGTCCTGGAGAGCGGGCAGGCCTGACACCCAATAGGGATGCTGAGTGTAGCAGAAGTGACAAGACCTCTCAGGACATGGCCAGCTGCTAACGGCTTGGGGGAGTTATTTTGTTGAGTCTCAGCCTTCTCAGCTGTAAAAACAGAGCTGAAACTACCTCTCACGGTTGTAGTGAAAATCAAAAGATTCTAAGCACAATACCAAGCTTATGGCAGAAGCTCAAATCAATAGTGTTTTCGTTTTGGGTTTTGTTTTATTACCGATCAATGAGGCTGTTCCTGGACCATGTACACCTTCCTGGTTCCAATTTGGGTACTGCTGTCACTGCTCCGGAATTTTTAGAAAAGTACTGGCTGAAGACACACAAATGACTCCCAGAGCCCTCTTACCTGTAACAGGCCAGTATGTGGAACAGATAGCTCACACACGTGAGGGAGGCGGGCAAGATGGTCACCAGCCAGACTCCTGAGGTAGAAAAAGAGACAAGAGAGGCCTGAGAAGATGAACCAGAAACAGTATTTTCAAAATGCGGAAGCTCACACAGAAAGGGTTGTGTAAATAAAGTTTGTTTATATTTCTGGTTCATTTCAGACACACACACCCTTGATATCCTTTACTTCCCGCACAAGCCTCTCCTTGGGTATTAATATTTTCCATCTACAGTGAGTACGGGGAAGAGAAAATTAGGGAGTATACACATCGTAGTTCCCTTCCATTCTTGTAGAACCATTGATAGTTGATTTCGATTGGCCACCTCTAGTAAAGAGCAACCATGTACAAGGATAACTGGAATCAAGAGGTCTTGAATGTTCTTTCATCCCATGCATCCTGTGGAGAATCTCCACGGACATTACTCACAGTTTTTAATAGGTTGTATCTAATGTGCTTTCATTGTGATCCTGTGTGCTTATGAGAAAGGGATGGAGAAACAGGAAAGAGAGATGATTTGAAGGTATAAAAGCTTCTGGACAAGCTGTTTCTTAGTCAGTCCAATCAAAGCATTTTAAAAAATCCAACACCCCTTTTATCCTTAACCTGATAAAAAGCATCTGCAAAAAAACCCACAGCGAACAGCATACTTAACAGCGAAAGACTGACTGCTTTCCCCCTAAGTTCAGGAATAAGAAAACCAACATCCACTTTTGCCAATTCTATCTACATTATACTGGAGGGTCTAGCTGAGGCAATTAGGCAAGAAAATGCAGCCAGACTGCAAAGGAAGAAATAAAACTATCTCTATTCACCGGTGACTTTTTCTTATATTTAAGAATCCTAAGCAGTAAACAAACAACCAAAAATATTCAAACCCATTAATAAATGAGTTCAGTAAGGCTTCAGGACGCAAGACAAATATATAAAAATCAATTGTATTTCTGTACCCTAACAATGCACAATGTGAAAATGAAGAAAACAATTGCATTTGCACTAGTATCAGAGGATAAAATACTTAAGAATAAGTTTAGCAGAAGTATGAACTCATACACTGAAAACTACAAAAGACTGTTGAAAGAAATTAAAGAAGACTTAGATTAATGGAAAGACACACCACTTTCATGTATTGGATCTTCTTTGGTAACATGGCACTGCTCCCTAAATTGATCTGAAGATTCAACCCAACCCGTTAAAATTCCAATGAAATTTCTGCAAAAATTGATAAGCTAATCCTATAATTCGTATAAAAATGAAGGGACCCAGAATAGGCTATACCATCTTGAAAAAGAAGAAGGAAATTTTGAGACTCACACTTCTTGATTTCAAACTCACTACAAAGCTACAGTAATGAAGTGTGGTATTGCCATACAGATAGACAAACAGATCAGTGTAATAAACTGATAATCCAGAAGTAAACCTTCATTGTCAATGCATTTTCAAGAAGGATGAAGAGGCAATTCAGTGGGGGAAAAGAATATGCTTTTCAACAAATGGCACAGGGGAAACTGATATTCACATGCAAAACAATGAAGCTAGAACCTTACCTCACAGCATAGACAAAAATTAACTCAAAATAGATCACAGGCTTAAACGTAAAAGCTAAAATTATACAAGTCTCAGAAGAAAATATGAGAATAAATCTTTGTAGACTTCAAGTTAGGTAATGTTGTCTTAGATACATACAAGTGATAAAAGAAAAATGAATATGTTGGACTCCATCAAAGTTAAAAACATTTGTGTTTCAAAAGACACCATCAAGAAGGTGAAAAAGCAACTCGCAGAATGGGAAAAAAATATTTTCAAATTGTATCTCTCTTATGGGATTTATGTATAATATAAAGGACCCTTACAGATCAATAATAAATAAATAATTCAATTTATTTTTTTTTCAACGTTTATTTATTTTTGGGACAGAGAGAGACAGAGCATGAACGGGGGAGGGGCAGAGAGAGAGGGAGACACAGAATCGGAAACAGGCTCCAGGCTCTGAGCCATCAGCCCAGAGCCCGATGCGGGGCTCGAACCCACGGGCCGCGAGATCGTGACCTGGCTGAAGTCGGACGCTTAACCGACTGCGCCACCCAGGCGCCCCTAAATAATTCAATTTAAAAGTAGGCAATGGGGGTGTCTGGGTGGCTCAGTTGATTGAGTGTTCAACTTCGGCTCAGGCCAAGATCTCATGGTTTGCAAGTTCGAGCCCCACGTCAGGTTCTGTGCTGACAGCTCAGAGCCTGCATCCTACTTCCAATTCTGTGCCTTCTCTCTCTCTGCCCTTCCCATGCTCATCCTTTATCTGTCTCTGTCTTTCTCTGTTTCTGTCTCTCTCAAAAATAAATAAACATTAAAAAAATTAAAAGTAGGCAACAAATCTCCATGGACATTACTCACAGAAGATGTACAAATGGCCAATAAATACATGAGAGGATTCTCAATATCATTAGCTATCAGGGAAATGAAAACCCAAACCACAAAAAGATGCCATTTCAGACTTATTAGATGGCTGTAATAAAAAAGACATAAAGCTTAGCGCCTGGATGGCTCAATCGGTTAAGCACCCAACTCTTGATTTTGGCTCAGGTCATGATTTCACTGTTTGTGAGATTGAGTCCTGCAAGGACTCTGTGCTGACAGTGAGGAGCCTGCTTGGAATTCTCTCTCTCTCTCTCTCTCTCTTGCTCTCTGCCCCGCCCCTGCTTGTGCTCTCTCTCTCTCTCTCTCAAAATAAATAAAAACTTAAAAAGAAAGACACATACCAACAAGCGTTGGTGAAGATATGGAGGGAATTGGACCCCTGATGGTGGTGGGAATACACAGTGATGCAGCTGCTTTTGAAAACAGTCTGGCAATTCCTTGATAGGTTAAACACAGTTACCATATAACCCAGAATTCCACTCTTAGGTACACACCCAAGATATATGAAAATATATGAAAAACTTGGAGATGAATGTTCATAGCAATATTACTCATGATAACCAGAAAGTTGAAACAACCCAAATTTCCATCAACTAATGAATGAATAAGTACAATGTGGTATATTCATACAACAGAATAAAATTCAGCAATAAGGAACAGGGGCACCTAGGTGGCTCAGTCAGCTGAGCATCTGACTCTTGATTTTGGCTCAGGTTATGATCTTGCCATTCGTGAGTTAGAGCCCTACATCAGGCTCTGGGCTGACAGCACAGAGCCTGCTTAGGATTCTCTTTCCCTCTCTCTCTCTCTCTCTCTTTCTCAAAATAAATAAATAAACTTAAATATTATTTTTAAAGTCCAGCAATAAAGAATAATGAAATTGGGACACATGCTATGACATAGATAAATTTTATAAACATTGGCTATGTGAGAGAAATCAATGTGAAAGACCACATATTATATGATTCCATTTATATAAGAAGTCCAGAACAGCCAAATCCACAGAGCCAGAAAACAGTGGTAATCTAGGGCTGGGAGAGTTAAAGGGAAATGGGGAGTGATTACAAATGGTCATGATTTCTTTTTAAGGTGATGGAAATATTCTAAATTTGATGTGGTGATGGTTGTGCAATGGTGATGGCTGAGAATATACTAAACCCACTGAATTGTACTTTCTTTTCTTTTTGTTTTTTTAATGTTTATTTTGTTTTTGAGAGAGAGAGAGAGACAGACAGACAGAGCATGAGCAGGGGAGGGGCAGAGAGAGAGGAAGACACAGAATCTGAAGCAGGCTCCAGGTTCTGAGCTGTCAGCACAGAGCCTGACACAGTGCTCGAACTCGAGAACTGTGAGACCATGACCTGAGCTGACGTTGGACACTTAACCGACTGAGTCACCTATATTTCCCTGAATTGTATTTTAAATGGATGAATTGTATGGTGTGTTAACTGAATCTTCAAAAAGTTCTCTTAAAAAGAAGGAAAAGAAACTGATTTTCATTCCTTTCAAGTTTCAAATATGTCTCCATCCCAGAAATCACTAGAATTAGGTAACAGCTATATCCCAAACCTCAATCAATACAAAGGAAGCTGGTAAACCACCAAGTGTCACCCCTGGGGGGTGCAGAGATCCTTGAAGGAAAGGATTAGAGGAGTCTGGCCACAAGCAGAGTGAGTGCAGACTCCCTCCAGCCAGCAGCAAGAACATGACTGCACACCTTTAATTTAATGCCTTTATCTTCCCAAAGATGAAGCATGTTCAGCTTGAAGTCTCTCCTGGCCAGAGGGCAGCTGTTTTAAAGCTGGAAAAAATCAAGACAGAGTGATTTTTATATTTTGATTCTCAAAGTGTCTAAACATGTGAGCAAATCCATGAAAGAGCAGGTAAACCATGAATGAATGAGATGATACCGTTACTACAGTTCACCCAGAGCAAGTAACTGAAGTTGGCATTAGAAACTTGCTCAGGGGTGCCTGGATGGCTCAGTCAGCAGAGCGTGAGACTCCTCATCTCGGGGTCGTGAGTTCAAGCTTCACACTGGGTATAGAGATGACTTAAAAATAAAATCTTTAAAAAAAAAAAAAAAAACTTGCCCAGAAGAGGGGTGGAAATGTAAACTTAAAAAAGTATGACTTAAAATTAGTATTGCTGAATTTAAAGATTAGAGTATGTTTGCTGAGTGCTGTACTCAGGGACTCATAAGGTGGAGCATAAATCAACATTAAAGGTGAATACAGATGTTTAAGGGCAACAATAAAATGTGGTGATAGGGAAGAAGCAGTATCTGCCCCAGTGTTCACATAAAAGGTAACTTTCCAACTACCCTATGACACAGCAATTACACTACTCGGTATATATCCAAAGGATACAAAAATGCAGATTTGAAGGGGCATATGCACCCCAATGTTTATAGTGGTACTGCCAATAATAGCCAAATTATGGAAAGAGCCCAAGTGTCCATAGACTGATGAATGGATTAAGAAGATGTGGTGTGTGTATATATGTGTGTGTGTGTGTGTGTGTATATGTGTGTGTATATACACACACACACACATATATATACACATATATATACACACACACACATACACATATACATACAATGGAATACAACTCAGCAATAAAAAAGAATGAAATCTTGCCATTTGCAACAATGTGCATGGAACTAAAGGGTATTATGCTAAGCGAAATAAGTCAGAGAAAAACAGATATGATTTCACTCATATGTGGTATTTAAGAAACACAACAGATGAACACAGGGGAAGGGAAGGAAAAATAAGATAAAAACAGAGAGGAAGGCAAACCATAAGAGACTTTTAAATAGAACAAACTGAGGGTTGCTGGAGGGTTGGTAGGTGGGCGGATGGATTAAATAGGTAATGGGCATTAAGAAGGGTACTTTTTGGGAGGAGCACTGAGTGTCATATGTAAGAGATGAATCACCGGGTTCTACTCCTGCAGCCAAGACTAGACTGTATGTTAACCAACTTGAATTAAAAAAAAAAGGTAACTTCCCATGTCACATGTATGAAAGAGAATTTTCTTCAAATAATCCACACTAGATCTATTTCTACTAGTTTACGAGTCGTAAGTAAACATATCATTGGCAACACCTATTTCATGGCTTAAGGAGCACTTTGTATTTTATGGCCACTAAAAGTCAGTGCCACAAAGGCTTCTGGAAACCTTAGCACCCCTACCCAAGCCCCATTAAAATTTTTTTTTAACATTTATTCATTTTTTTTTGAAAGTGAGAGAGGCAGAGCATAAGTGGGGGAGGGGCAGAGAGAGTGGGAGACACAGAATCTGAAGCAGGCTCCAGGATCCGAGCTGTCAGCACAGGGCCCGACACAGGGCTCGAACTCACAGACTGTGAGATCATGACCTGAGCCGAAGTTGGACGCTCAACCAACTGAGCCACCCAGGCGCCCCTCCAAGCCCCATTTTAAAAATGAGGAAACCAAGGTGCAAGAGAGAGGACCCAACTTGTCTGATGACACAGAGTTTACCTGACATCTTATCCAGGGCCTTTCTCGGCAGGCAAGAGGGAAGAACTCTCCTCCCTCCGCGGGCAATGGGCTCAGAATTAGACTGTTTTCAAAGAAAGCTGCTTTTTTAAGGTAAAGTGGCTGCTATGGGCAGATTCACATGTTGAAGCCCTAACCCTCAGTATGATGGTGTTTAGAGATGTGGCTTTAGGGATTAGTGCCCTTATAAGAGACAGGAGAGGGCCTGCTTCCTCTCCCTGGTCCCCAGCATCTGAGGATGCAAAGAGACGGCCATCTGGAAATCAGGAAGCAAGGCTTCATGAGACACCAGATCTTCTGGCACCTTGACCTTCCTGGACCCCCGAACGGGGGAACAAGTGTGTGTTGTCTCTGCTACCCAGTCTACAGTAATTTGGTATAGCAGCCTGAACTAAGCAGAAATTAAAGCTGAACAACATAAATACGTTTTTCATGTAATCCTAAAGAAAAGCCAAGGCTTGCTGTTTTCTTTTTTCCAAGGTGAAAAATACATGATGATTTTAGTTGTTCCCACTGGCACCAGAACAAAATAGGCTATTTAAAATGAGAACATTCTCAGGGATGTTCAACTCAGCCCCAAAGAGTTTTTCACAAAGTGGCCTGGGTCCTGACCCCACTGGCCTTCTAGTCATCCAAGGAGGCATAGATCCGTTGTAACCCACTTTTCCTCCCAAACCAGTCACCTCATGCAGGTAGTAGCGATACTACAGCGATCATTATTCCAGGTGTGCACCCGCCGCCGGTTGTAAGTCTTTTTCTCTGTTTCCCACACTTTCCCAACAAAGGGAGCGGGATGGTTTTACCTTTGCTGACGTTCATCAGCTCTTTCACCTGCAGGATGACAGGGGTCAGGGTCCCCGTCTGGTTCATGGAGGCGATGTAGTTCTCCAGCTCCCCTTCAAACACATCCAGCTCGTCTCTCACATACATGAACATGCAGAACTCAATGACAATGAACTGGTGCAAAGAGCAAACATTTCAAAGTCTCACCTGAGTCCAGCCTACTATGTAAATAACATATGGACCTCTCTTTGGTTTTGAGGTCAAACTCTTTGAAGTTCAAAACGCATATGAAATAGATTCTGACCACTGGCTATACCAAGATGAGTGGGATTGTGACTTCTCTGAAGACATCTTTGGAGCCACCCCAAACTCTTTTCTGCACCCCATAGCATATAAGACTAAGTCCTACAATGGCTCAAGTCAGTCCTCAAACATTAATTACCTCAAAGTGAAATGAATGTCTAACTTTGAATAAGAAGTGACCTTGGGGACAATTCCAGCCATATCTCTCCCCACTCTTCTACTTGCATCTTGGCGGTAACCACGTTGGAGAAAGTACTGTTTGCTGTATACACGCCACACTTTCTCTCTCCCATAATCCTGTCATCATGCCTTTATACCATCTACCACCATGCCAAAGCTTCTACAGTTCCTACTGCCATTTTACTTCATCAACCAAATTTTGTTTGTCTTTGTGCAGCTCAAATGCCACCATCTTCAGGCAGCTTCTCAATCTCGAATAATGCCCTAAACTTTCAGAGCACTTTCACCTCATCTTTGTCTCTCTTTACATGGCACATACTTCATGCCACGTCATATCCCCTTCTCTTAGACCATGGGTCTCTCCCAGGCCAAGACTCTGCTGAATCAGCTCTCTTCTCTCTTCCAGGTCTTAGCATGGTGCTTGGCATACAGTAGATAACCACTAAAGACTAAAGGAACACAATGATTCCAAGTCAATTACTCACGTTGCAGAGAACTCCACTTGTCAGTTAAAATCCATTCTCCCCTTCTTTGGGCACAAAACTGGACTACATTTCCCAGCCTCCCTTGAGGGATGTGGCCATGTGACGAGGTTCTTGCCCATGGAAGATGAGTGGAAGGAATGTGTGCTATTCTACAAGGGCACTTTGAAAACCTCCCACTTGCATTTCTCCATGCACCTTCCCCTTCTGCTGACTGGATGCAGAGGGTGAAGGTTCTCAGGATAATGAAGCACATGATGGAAGAATCTCAGTTACAGAGTAACACATGGAGGACTGTTGCCCCCCAAACCTGAACACCTACTCAACATTGTTACATAGGCAAACGTATTTATAGTGTTAAGTTACTAAAATTTAGGGGTTTATGTCGTACTCCAGCATTACCTAACTCATACATTCATTTAAAACTTAATCACAGGAGGGGCGCCTGGGTGGCTCAGTCAGTTAAGTGTCTGACTTCGGCTCAGGTCATGATCTTAAGGTTTGTGGGTTCAAGCTCCACATCAGGCCCTGTGCTGACAGCTCAGAACCTGGAGCCTGCTTCGGATTCTGTGTCTCCTTCTCTCTCTGCCCCTCCCCTGTTCATGCTCTGTCTCTCTCTCTCTCTCAAAAATAAACAAACATTAAAAACTTTTTTTAACTTAATCACAGGATTAATTTATATAGGTATCATCCAGAAGACAATATGGTCTTCCACTTCTATCTCTCCATTTTGACTCTCCTTTTGACTCAGACGTTTTACCTCAGATAACTTTGACCACGTGAAATGTTTGCCTCTGTGCTTAATAAAATATGAAAGTCAGAATTATGGCAACATTAAAAATTTCTTTGTTGAGAAAGCAAACTTAAATAACGCACCTATACCAAAAAACATGATGATCACCCAAAGTCCGTAGTTTACGTTAGGGTTCGCTCTTGGTGTTGCACATTCTGTGGGTTTGGACAAATGTCTAATGACATGTATCTACCATATAGTATCATACAAAGTCTTTTCACTGTTCTGAAATCCTCTGTATTCTGCCTATTCATCCCTCCCTCTCCCCAATCCTTGGCAACCACTGATCTTTTATTGTCTACATAATTTTGCCTTTCAAAATGTCACACAGTTGGAATCATATAACATGTGATCTTTTCAAATAGGATTCTTTCACTTATGAATATATATCTAAGTTTCTTCCAGGTCTTTTCATGGCTTGGTAGTTCATTTCATTTTAGTGCTGAATTGTAGCCCATTGTCTGGATGTACTGAAGATTATTTATCCATTCACCTACTGAAGGGCTCTTGGTCACTTCTATATTTTGACAATTATGTGTAAAGCTGCTATAAACATCCATGTGCACGTTTTTGTGTGCACATAAGTTTTCAGTGCATGTGGGTAAATACCAAGCAGGGTGACTGCTGGATCATATGGTAAGAGTATCATTTGTATTCCCACCAGCAGTGAATGAGAGTTCCTGCCAGTTCACACCCTTGTCAGCATTTGGTATTGTCAGCATTCTGAATTTTGGCCATTCTAATATTTTAACGTACAGTAGTTGTTTTGATCGTTGTTTTAATGTGCATTTTCCTGATGACATATACTATAGAGCATGTTTTCATTTGCTTATTTGCCATTTGTATATCTTCTCTGTGAGATGCCTATTAAGGTCTTCGGTTCACTTTTAAATCGGATTATTTGTTTTCTCATTGTTGAATTTTAAGAGTTCTTTGTATACTTTGAGTAACAGTCTGTTTCAGATGTGTCTTTTGCAAATATTTTCTCCTAGTGTGTGGCTTGTCTTTTCACTCTCTTGACAGAGTCTTTTGCAGATTAAAACGTTTTAATTTTAATGAAGTCCAGCTTATCAATCTTTCCTTCATGGTTTGTGTCTTTGGTATCATATCTAAAAAAATTTTCACCACTTAACTATAGAAAACCAACTAGTGGTTATCAGAGGGGAAGTGGGTAGGGGGATGGGTGAAACAGATGAAGGAGATTAAGAGTACACTTTTCATGATGAGCACTGAGTAATGTATAGAATTGTTCAATCACTATACTGTATACTTGAAATAATATAACACTATGTTGCCCACACTGAAATTAAAATAAATATATATACATACCTACATACAAACATACATTCATGCATAAATTCGCTACCAGTCTCAAATAATTGGTAATGCCAAATAATAACAATAACTAATTTAATTAAAAAAATAAAAAGTCATCACCAAACCCAAGTTCATCTAAATTTTCTCTGATTTCACCTTCTAGAATTTCATAGTTTTGCATTTGACATTTAGGTCTGTGATTCATTTTAAGTTAATATTTAGGAAGGTCTGTGTCTAGACTCATTTTTTTTTTGCATGTGGATGTCCAGTTGTTCCAGCACCATTTGTTAAAAAGAAAATATTTGCTCCATTGTATTGCCTTTGCCCCTCTGTCAAAGATAAGCTGACTCTATTTATGTTGGTCTATTTCTTAGCTCTCTATCCCGTCCATTGATTCACTTGTCTATATTGGCAACATCACACCATCATGATTAGGGTAGCTTTGTAGTAAGTTGAAATCGAGTAGTGTCAGTCCTCCAACATTCTTCTTCTTTTCATTTAATATATTGTTGGCTATTATGAGTCTTTTGCTCTCCCTATAAACTCTAGAACCAGTTTGTCAGTATCCACAAAATAACCCCCTAGTTTTGATTGAGATGCACTGAATTCCAATATAGATCAATCCCAATATATGTAGATCAAGTTGGGAAGTACTGATATCTTGACAATACTGAATCTTTCCATCCACACATATGGAATATCTCTCCATGTATTTAGTTCTTCTTTGATTTCTTTTAACACAGGTTTGTAGTTTTCCTCATATAGATCTTTGTGCATATTTTATTAGATTTACATTTAAGTATTCCTTTTGGGGGGTTGCTATTGTAAATGATAGTTTCTTTAATTTCAAATTCCTCTTGTTCAATGCTGATACATAGAAAAGCAATTGACTTTTGTAGGTTAACCTTGTACCTTGCAACCTTGCTATAACTGCTTATTAGTTCCAGGAGTTGGGTTATTTTCAAGATTTTATTTTTAAGTAATCTCTGCACCCAACATGGGGCTCGAACTTAAAACTTTGAGATTAAGAGTCACACACGCTATCAACTGAACCAGCCAGACGCCCCTTCAGGAGTTTTCTGCTGATTCTTTTGGATTTTCTACATACGCAATCATGTCATCTGTGAACAAAGACATTTTTACTTCTTCTTTCCCTATCAGTATACCTTTTATTTGCTTTTCTTGTCTTATTACCTAGCTAGGATTTCCTAAGTAAATGCTGAGTGATGAGGGGAAACAGTCTTGCCTTTTTCCTGAGTTTAGTAGGAAAGTTTCTAATTTCTCACCATAAAGTATGATGCTAGCTGTAGATTTTTTTGTTCATATTTTTTATCAGATTGAGAAAGTTCCCCTGTATGCCTAGGTTATTGAAAAAAATTATCATGAACTGGTGTTGAATTTTGTTGAATGTTTTTCCTGCATCTCTTGATACGATCATGGGATTTTTCTTCTTTCGGCTGTTGATGTGACTGATTACGTTAATTGCTTTTTTAATATTGTACCAGGTTTGCATACCTGAGATAAATCCAACTCAGTTGTGGTGTATAATTCTTTTTATACATTGCTGGATTTGATTTGCTCCATTCCATTGTAATTCTTTAGACCCACCTGTCTCCAATTTCAGGGACAATGGTTTGTGCCATGACTTCTCTTATGGATCTAAGAACTGTTGAGTTTCAGTTTGTTCAGATTTTTACTTGTTAGGATGGACTGGCATCTTGCAAGCTCTTTACACGGAACTGACAACCAGAAGTCTCCATAAATAATTCAATTATATTTATTAGTCATTCACCATGTGGGTAAAAGTGTCCTTGGAGTAAAAATGGTGGTCAAAAAAATGTACTTCTTTTATTTACAGACTCAATTTTGACCCAGCTTTTAAAGAATAAGCCCTGCCCTAACCCCATCCCACTTATAAAATAGGAAAGGGTTTGCTTGGATCTACTTACAAGGTACAGGCATATGAAAGCCAACACAGTGGTTCCAATCATTCTGCTTGGGAACTGAAAGCAGGGGTCCCACTCATACACCCTGGTTTGGAACCAGGACTTTTTAGTCTCCCTGTGAATGAATAAATAACAGAAAAGAGAGGCTGTGGTTGGTAAACAAATGCCCAATTCTTCTGAAAATAACCTCTGCTTCATCTTAGAATTTAGTGAAGAAAAAGAACATCCTGGTAGATTCCAGTTTTCATTCTCCCCTTATTCTTAAGAACAGAGACTCAGTTTTATTCAGTACAGCAATTCACCAAACTAAAGGGCTATGGTTCCTGATCTCTCTTACAGCTACAGTGACTAAGATTAAGCACAGGCCAATCAGATGTCACCAGATGTGGCAGTTTGGGGGAGGGTGCTGAGGTATAATTCACGCAGCTGGGAGGGACCCCGTTGCCCTCTTTCTTTTCTCCTGCCTGCTGTCTGAAACGCAGACATGGTGGCTGATCCAAGCTGGAGCCCACCCCAGCATCCGTCTTGGACCGTGGACAGCCTTCATGATGACAGTTACTAAGAGCTGGAGCAGAAAGACAGATGACCAGTAAGTTGCCGTGGTGGGCAGTTCAGGGTCAGTATGAACTACCTGCCTTCAGAATTCTTTTATATGGGAAAGAAATAAATCTCCCTCTTGTGTGTCCCACTGTTATTTTGCATTTTCTGCTACATGTAACTCAACGTACTTCTAACCAAAGTACTAGCTTTGCCACTGCATGACCCTGGATTAGACACATCCCATTTGTGGGGCTTATCCCCTTGTACACAGTGGCAGTGGCAGGGATAGGGGTGATCACTGCTTTTGCTTGGCCATGAGCTATGTCCCCTGGTATTGGTAACAGCCCCTGCACTGTTTCTCTGGGAACCTGCTCCCTCCCCTCAGTCCTACCGCTTAAGTGAGGCTGAACAACTTCCTAGTTCCAAAGATGAACATATGACAGGCTTAACGATCCATTTACTCTAATCACCTAGCCACAGTAATTGGTTCTGGGAACGCATGTGGTCTGATGTGACTCAATGAAACCCACTCATAGGAGTTTGGTTTGAATTATTAGAAAGTTTCTCTTTCCTGTGATCTTAAGCCAGGAGGGTACAAGCTTAGAGATTCTGAGGGCCACCACGGGGAGGAAACCCACCTAACTACGGGTCTAACACAGATCAAAGCAGAGCTAAGAGAAAATGAGGAAACCAGGAAGCCCTGGTTCTGATATCAGTGAAGCCACTGGATCCGTCTGCATCGGAACCGACCACTTCTAGAGTTTTTAATTATGAAAGGCCACACGTTTGCTTTTTCTCTTTAATCTAGTTTGAGCTGAGTTTCTGTCATCAGCAAACAAGAGTCCTGACTAATGTGCCCATCCAGTCATCTCAGGGTCTCCCGCACTGTCAGGGCTCATCAACACTGGCACAAATACCTGGGTGGGGGGGGGGGAGGGAGG